CTCTCCCCTCGCCAGACGGACCAGCCGCGTCACCGCCGGACCCACGCATTTCTCACCTCTTGGACGAGTATAGAGACGTCTTCGAGGCTCCCACCGGAACGGTCCCGGATCGGCCCATACGTCACGGGATCACTCTCGAGGCTGGCGCCGTCCCTCCGCGTGGATGTATCTACCGCATGAGCGAAGAGGAACTCGAGGTGCTTCGCGCACAACTCGATGACCTTCTCGACAAGGGCTGGATTCGCCCTAGTTGCTCGCCATACGGTGCACCTGTTCTCTTCGTCTGGAAGAAGAACAAAGACCTACGGTTATGCATCAATTATCGGAAACTTAACGCACAAACCGTAAAGAACGTCGACCCTCTCCCTCGGATTGATGATCTTCTTGAGCAGTTATGCGGCGCGACGTACTTCTCGAAGTTGGACTTGAAGTCAGGTTACCACCAGATTGAAATCCAGCCTCAAGACCGGTACAAGACCGCGTTCAAGACGCGGTACGGGCATTTTGAGTGGGTTGTCATGCCTTTTGGCCTCACCAATGCCCCCGCAACTTTTCAAGCAGCTATGACGACTGAGTTTCGCGACTTGCTCGATCGCAGTGTCCTCATCTACCTCGATGACATCTTGGTCTATAGCAGGACGTTGGACGAGCACATCACACACCTTCGTGCTGTTTTGAATCGTTTGCGACTGGCCAAGTACAAAGCGAACTCGACAAGTGCGAGTTCGCCAAGCAAGAGCTTGAGTATTTGGGCCACTATGTTACGCCGAAAGGAATTCGTCCCTTAGCGGACAAGATCCAAGCCATCGTGGATTGGCCGGAACCCCGTTGCACGACGGATGTACGCTCTTTCATGGGTTTGGCTGGATATTATCAGCGATTCGTCGAGTCATACTCGAAAGTGGCCGCTCCTTTGTCGAGACTCCAGTCCCCGAAGGTGCCCTTCGAGTTCGACGACGCAGCCCGTGGCGCGTTCACTACGTTAAAGGCAGCGATGCAAGCCTCACCTGCCCTCCGTATATACGACCCCACCCTAGCCACCCAAGTGACTACGGACGCTTCGGGATACGGTATTGGTGCGGTGTTGGAACAGTGTCACGAGGACGGTTGGCATCCGGTCGAGTATTTCTCCCAAAAGGTGCCTCTCGTAAACACTCTCGCCGACGCTAGGAAGAAAGAGGTACTCGCGTTCGTCACAGTTCTCAAACGGTGGCGCCACTTTCTTCTCGGGCGTCAGCGTTTTAAATGGAATACGAACGACAATCCGTTGACCTTTTACAAAACGCAGGATACGGTCACTAGTACGATCGGTCGAAGGATGTATTACATCGACCAGTTCGATTTTGACCCGTGCCATATTCCCGGTCCCGCCAATTGAGCTGCGGACGCCCTCTCACGACGGCCGGACTTTTGTGCCATTGTGACCGTGGCATTGGACCTCGATGACGATCTGCAACCGCATTTCGTCAAAGGCTACAAGTCCGATCCGACTTACTCTACACTTTACGCCGAGCTTTCATCGGATCACCCGCCGGCTAGCCACTTTCGGATTTCCGACGGGTTCCTTCTCCTTCACACGAGAGGAAAGGACTTGTTAGTTGTGCCCCAAGATCGCATCGTACGGACTCGTCTTCTCGTCGAATTCCACGACGCACGACTTTCGACACACCTTTGCGTGAACCGCACAATAGCACTCCGCCGCCAGCGTTTTCACTGGCCTGACGTCCGTCATGTCATGAGGTACATTGAGTCATGTGCAGTTTGCCACCGCAACAAGGGTCGATCTCGAGTCCCCTTCGGTGAACTGAAACCATTGCCGATTCCGCGGGCACCGCGCCTCTCCATTGCTATGGACGTGACAKGCCYGTTTCCCCGCGATCGCCACGGCCATGACGGTATTCTCACGGTCGTTGACCGTTTGAGCAAGTATGCTCGCTTCCTTCCTTGCAAGTATCATGCTGTAGCGCCTGAGCTCGCACGACTCTTGCACACTGGTTGGATTACCAACCAGGGTGTTCCGGAAGACATAGTAAGCGACCGAGATACTCGCTTCGTGTCGGCCTTTTGGACTTCCCTCATGGCTGAGTCCGGTACGACAACGAAGCCGAGCTCGGCTCGACACCTGCAGACGGATGGCCAGACGGAGCGAGCGCACCAGACCGCTCAGATGATGTTGCGTACGCTCATTCGTCCCGACCAGAAAGATTGGGTTGACCGGCTTCCCGACATCGAGTTCGCCTATAACACTTCGGTGCACCCGGCGATCTGCGTCACACCATTCGAGCTACATCATGGTGGAGAGAAAGCACGAATCTTCGCTGATCTCCTTTTGCCACAGGCCGCCGACATAGACGTCCCTTGCTCTCCCGCTTCCGTTCGGAAGTACCGGGACTTGCTGATCAAAGCCCGTGCAAATATGCAAAAGGCTCAGATCCGCATGCAGCAGAAGGCTAACCGACGTCGACTTCCATGTCCTTTCCGCGAGGGAGACCTTTTTTGGGTCCTCTCCGAGGAATTTGCGCTCGAGCAGGATGTTTCGTGCAAACTCCTTTCGAAATGGTTCGGACCATGGGAAGTCACTTCTGCCGTTGGAGACGACCCCGCAGGTCCTTTCTTCGTGATCAACATTCCTCCGCACCTTACAGTGCATCGGGTCTTCCACGCATCGAAGCTGGCCATCTACACGCCACCTTCAGATGACGAGTTTCCCGGACGTCGATCACAGGATCCGACCTCCATGGACGGACATCAGGAAGTGGACCGAGTCATCACGCACCGCAAGTATGGCAACAAGCCAATTCAAGCAATGTGCGCCGGATGACACTCGGTGGATCTCTAGTGCAGACTTGCAAACTTCTGCACCCCTTATCTTCGCCAACTATGAGAAGACACGACTTGCCAAGGCAGCAGCTCGTCCCACCCAACCCATCCCGGTATCGGACAGACAACTCTGCCCTCGCAAGTAGCTCGGTCTTTTAAGAGGGGGAGTGTGTTACATCTTCGACGCCACACGGGTCCTACCGGACCCGACATAGGGTAGGGACACAGTAGGGCCAAAGGCCCGACCTTGGGGGTACTACAGGCCGTAAAGGCCTTACCTTGGACCAGACCTGACGGGCCGGCCCAAACGATGTTACCGTTTGGGCCTGGCGGCGCTCTTGCGGCTGCCGCCCGCCGGTTGGGGCTGAACCGTCCATCTGGACGGTTTAGGGCACGGTCCGGCCTCGCAGCATAGAGGCCGACCTCTGCCCACCGGTACAAAGGTACCGGTCCAGCCTCAGTGAGGCTATCGACCTACCGGCATTCTACCGGTACGGTATGGTATAGCGCGATACAGCGCTGGCGCTAAGATTAGCGCAGGAGCAGCGAGGAACAGCGCAGCACAGATTAGCGCAGCAGCAGCGGCGACGGGATTACCGGCGGCCATAGCCGCCTGAGGTATTGGGAGTTGGAGGCTTCTCTCCTCCCTCCCATCGCCAGTCCCCTCTCTCTCCTCCTCGACTCCTTCTTCTTCTTCTTCTTCTTCTTCTTCTTCTTCTTCTTCTTCTTCTTCTTCAGATTGGAGACTTATACCAGTTGGACAGAGATCAATATTGGACATCGGTGATATGAGACTGTGGTACTTACCGGATTGGAGACTTGGAGATTGTTGGGGTTGATACTCGACAGCATCACAGTTCGGACACCGGTTACATTTGGACTCTATACCTCCGACATTGGTGACCTATTGTCCTCGACATTTTGATCTTGTTGGATGACATTTTGGACTACCTTATCGGTGACCTATGAGATTCTATCTCGGTGACCTTCGGTGCTGTCTACCTCCCCCACCTCCTTCGTCTCTCCTCCCACCTCTCATATGTGTATGCGTGTACGAGGTCTGGGCATCGTCTATGCTTGGCCCAGACCCCACCATCTCACGATTGTATGTGTGTGGAGTGATTCTTGAGTCAGTCTGTGTGAGTCAGTCTGTGTGAGTCAGTCCGTTTATCAGACTTCCGCTGCATATGTGCTCATCCTACATTGGTTGATCTTTGGTTCTGCCCATACTCATTGGAGTATGTAACAATGGGCCACCGCGACAGGGAGGTGCAGAGAAAAAGGGGGACATTGGGCGGTGAGACAAGAGAACGGCCCGAACCGCTAGATGCTCGGACCAGGATTCTTTCCCGTTGAGCTCCGTACGTGATTGCAGTTGGATTATCGGAGCTTGGCATGGTTTGGGCTCAGATACATTTGGCCCTGGTGGTGTGAGCCAGGGTGTCGAGCAGGGGAGCTTCCATGAATATGGCGGGATAATATTTTCGCGGCAAGTTGGAGTCTGCTGCACCTGGCCCGGGGGTTCAAGAAAGGAATGACGGGACTGCTGGAGGGAAAAGAAAGGAGGCCGTTGAAAGCGGAAATGGAGGGAAATTTCGAAATTGAAAACTTCAAAAGTAAAAGCAAGCCATTAAGAGCGGGAAGGAAGGAAATTTTTGAAAATGTTCTCCGAAGTCCAAGTCGAGGGAAATCAGGATATGATTGGTGAATGAGAAAGAAATAGAGGATCGGTGAGGTATGGCGAGAAAGATAAAAATTTCAGTAAATTTTGGCTCTTGGCGCCGAACGGGGAGAGTGAGAGGGAGAGAAAGCGGTTGGCAGAGGGGTAGAGTAGCGGCAGCTGACAGGGCAGCAACTGGTCGGGCCTGCACCTGGTCTGAGCCCGACCAGAGCGTACAAAGGGAGGAGATGAGCAGTGTCAATGAAGGTGGGGGGGGGGAGTCTTCCCTGGAGGCAAGGATAGCGCACGGAGCGCAAGTGAGAGTGCTCGTCCCGGGGCAGTTCGCAGCGCACGGTTGACAATGCGTGAGGGAGCTGCAGCGCGAGCAAGTGGAAGCGCACGGAAGGTCCCCGGGGAGGGGATCGGGGCGACAGGGAACGGAGGTAGAGAGGAACATGACAGCGCACGGGAGGAGAAGACTACGCAAGAGGGAGAACAGCTATGGCGGGAGCCAAGGTTACATAGGCTGCTCGTTCCTTGATGGAATCAGACGGGGAGAGATGGTAGGTAGGGGTTTTAGGATAGGGCGAACCCGAATCTGGCATTAGTCTTAGTAGCAGGACAGCGGGGTTAGAGCTAGAAAGAAAAAGGGCTGCGCGCGGAGAGTGTCGGGGAAGGAGAAAACGGGAGTGAGAAGTGTGTATCTTGCCCGTTCCTCAACGACATCGAGCAGGGAAAGATTCTAAGTAGGGGTTTTAGGCCATTCTGGATTAATTGGCCGTGCTAGATTTGGCATCTGGGCAGCAGCCTGTTCTGGACAAGCGAAATGGGTTGCGTGGGGGAGGAGAAGTTATGGAGAGGAAACAAACCTACCTGTATTCTTGCGGAAGATTCATTCACGTTTTTGCATGCTTTTGAGTATAGCGGCGTGCGATTTCAACAGTGTGTATTCCTCCATGATCTAGCAGTGGATTCATTCCCCGTTCTTTGGGCTGACAGCGAGCGACTTTCTGGTAATGCATCTTCCCTTTTTGCAGAGGAAGATTCACTCTCATTTGCGTATTTGGTGAGTAGTGGAACGAGGACTGATACCAAGTTGTGCCCAAGTACCAACACTATCGGCGCTTTGATTCCTGCCATGCTCCTCGTAGTTACCACCAAAGTATTGTGACCATCTTCTTCGACATCGAGGTCGTAGTGTTACTCTCAACAAGGGTCTTTATTGTCGAAGCGTTTTTCAGTGGAACCTTCTTTTGACGCCGTGATCTGTCGTCGAGCGTGGCCCCGGTTGTCATCGTGCTCGTGGCCTTCGCGTTCATCTTGGTACTTGTCTCTGTCACGGCGGTTGGTTGGCTGAAAGAGAGGGAGAAGGAGGGGGGTGAGCGCTTATCTTGGGGACTGGGGATGCCGGATAAACTGAGAGGCGGGCTTCGGGGCTAACCTGCGCTATAGCGAGTACAGGCGAACAGCGGCAGCCGGTGAACGAGCAGCGACAGAGAGCGGACGAGCAGCGGCAGACAGCGGACGAGTGGTGGAAGGAGAGAGAGAGAGAGAGAGAGAGAGAGAGAGAGAGAGAGAGAGAGAGAGAGAGAGGAGAGTGAAGGGCATATGCATGGTGGCTTGTCCAGTCTGGCCATTGTGTGCCGGTGAATGGCACGAAAGGTAGTAGTATGGTCTTTTTTTTTGTTGTTGTTTGAAGTTTGTTTTACAAACTGGCTTTTCAATTGGTTCGCTGCTGTTTTTTGTTTTTGTTATTTTGGTACCGGTCAGGCAATCGCGTCTTCTGTAGCAAAGTAGTGAGCCACGGTGGAAAAAAAAAGGAAATGTTTTTTTTTTGGTGGGAGATTATGATGACGACAACCTTCGTGTATTTCCGCAACTGGGACGTATAACCCCCGGTTATGTGGGTGGGTAAGTAGTGAAGATGGGGGGTTCATCCTCAGCAGCATCAGATCTACCMTGTTCTGGGCACTCTAATGAYGAAAGGTGACTCTGTGAAGACAGTAGAAAACAGGCTCTTTAGACAATATGGAGACGAAGAAAGGGAAAGATGGAAAAGTGAGAGGGGCTTTCTTTCATMTGTTGTCGAAGTCGTTTTTTTTTTGTTTTKTTTTTRCAGCTCGAAGTTCTTAACGGAACCGTTCTCTGGTTTCGCTTTTCTATCTTTACGTGTAGGTTGCCTCTCCTGCACGCGCTAGAGAGAGAGAGAGAGGGAGAGAGAGAGAGAGAGGATGCGTACTAGGTCTTTGCAGTTTTTCATTTGCCCGTAATTACGGGTAGATGCACTGAGTCTGCCTCGAATTATTGTTGATCCTACGTTGGAGAGCGGCAGTGAGCCCGCTAGAGAGAGAGAGAGAGAGAGAGAGAGAGAGAGAGAGAGAGAGAGAGAGAGAGAGAGAGAGAGAGAGAGAGAGAGAGACTTACCCTCATGACTATGGCTGAGGAGACAGACTTTGCCTGTCCTTTAATGTTGCTGCTAAGTCCTGCACATGCCGATACTGTGTGGGTCTTGCTACTGCTGTTCGGGTCTTGATCCCCTCACCTTCTGCCAGCTGCAGGTTATCTGTGCACACTGGGTCCGGGCTGTCGTGCTCTTGCTGTTTATTGACGGACGATGAGGTGAGCGATCTGGAATTGTGGGCTTACACAGTTGGCCGTACCAGGTAGTGAGAGCTGCAGTCTGCCATCGAAGTCGGGGAGCATGCTCGGGGCGAACCGTCCGAACTCGGGTTTTTGTCCAACKCTTCAAAGRTGGTGAACTTCTGGAARCACCCAYCSGGTGTGGGTTTGTTCTGTGCAAAATAGTGCAATAGCTCGCCCGTGTCTAGAGAACTCTCGTCGGAGTGAGTGGGTTTTGTGCTATACGGTGCTGTCCTCCTGTGCTCGGGTGTGCTGTTGCCGGGCAGGCCGGCCTGCCCTCGGTAAGARAGGATTTACTGGTCCTGAATACTCTATGGACAGAACACACAGTAGGCGTGAGTGAGTGGCAATGGGGCTTGGAGCTGGGACCAGACWKGAGRGGTGCAACAGGGAAAAAGGAGGGGTACAAGTTACCGTTGGTGTTAGGGGTTGATCTGCGCAGGGAGCATGACTGACTGGTCAGCATGTCGAAGGCGTGGTGGGGTGTCCAGACAGCAGTCAAAGGGCAGTGGCCACAACGAGCCGTAGTGGATACCTCCCCGCCCGACATCGTTTCACGTTCTCACGGAGCCCTGGATCATTATTTTAGGGACCGAATTTCCTCCCTATCACCACATCCTACCGTATCACTCCCTAACCATCGTGCCCTGGCTTGCAATCGCTCCTTACTGGCCCCAAGCCCCGTGCTCAGAGTGTCTGTGGGACCACGAGTACCAAGCCTCCGGCTTCATCCGACAAACCCGCTCGGAGAAAGAACGACGGGCG